TGGGTCTTCCCCGTGGTCTCCTCCCAGCTGGACGTGCCTGGAACACCTCTCTAGGGAGGCGCCCAGGTGGCATTTTTACTAGATGCCCGAACCACCTCAACTGGCTCCTTTCTAGGTGAAGGAGCAGCGGCTCTACTCTGATTTCCTCTAGGACGACTGAGCTTTTCACCCTATCCCTAAGGGAGAGGCCAGCCACCTGAGAAAACCCATTTCGGCCGCTTGTACCCGCAATCTTATTTAACGTATTGTCTGACAAAAATACTTTAAGGCTAAGATTTCTTGTCCAAGTCAGAACCTGAAATAACCCCAATAACAGAATGTTGTTTAAACCAAAAGAACCAACAATAACAGCATATGTAGTCTTTTAGATATTTATTCTTTGGCCAAATAAGCACAAAGCCAGTATAAAACAAAGATGAAAGGGCTAACACTGGCACAGCGGCATACAGGAGAAAAGCTTTAAATACTTCTGTTTTATACTAAGAGGTATCAAGGTCAAGATCCAATTTCACTGCTTATTGGCATTTTATAATAACAAAATGCAACTAGCAAGCCTTACCTGCTTCAACTCTTAACCAACTACAGAAAATTGCAGTATCTTCCAGAGATAAATGAAAGAGAACAGATCAACATGACCCTGTAGCATAATTGTCACATTTCTGATTTGTTCTCCCAGACAAAGCTACCTTAGAAAGAATGCCAACATATTCACCTGTCAAGGATATACTGCCACCCCATAACATTTTCTAATACCTCCATTTTACATTCCAAATGTCTGCTGGAGTACCACGAACACCTTAAACATGATGACTACAATGACAATATCCTGAGTGGGTCTGAATTGGCCTAGCTAAGCATGGCTTTACCAGCTTAACTTTGACTCAGGGCACATACTTGAAAAGTAAAATGGAAATGAATTGCACTGAAAAATAAAAAAGAGCCAGCGTCAGATGTAACTGAAATATTGTCGTGTGCTGCTGACGTCAAAATTGCGGTCAAGTGATTTTACAAAAAAACAGTTTTCCGCAGGTTTGACTTGCATAGGTGACTATAGGAACTAAAGTTTTTTTTTTAATTAAAAGTCTGAGGTTATTCAGTGTTTGTGCTAACTAATTAAAGTAATACAATAGTCATATTTTTGAGGCAGTTAAATGTTACTGGAAAATAACCAAATGTACAATATATATATATAAATGCAGCCAAAACTATATCTTCGGAACAATCTTCAGGACATACATTGGAAAAACACTTAAAAAATTGGTGTACATCACTCAGAAACGTTTAACTATAATAACAAAAAAAATGTATTAACTGTACAATCACATGACGCATTCATTCACTTACATTTTGTCCCACAAGCTAAGCCCTCAATTCCAACGCCACCCGTGTAGATAACTGAGGATGTGTTAAAAAAAATAATTCACCACTTCAATCAATCTGTAAATATGGACTATAACACTGCACATAATACTATTCGTAGCAAGACTTGCAAAACAACATGACTCAGATGTGGGAGCTACCAGTTACAAGTTTTTTGCAGGGTGAAGTAATCCTTCATATTCATGCTGCTAAATCAATTGGTAAACCAAAAAAAATGATTTCAGGAGAACTGCCATATAAACTTGCGTAACATAATGTGCAATCCAATACCTTTTTTTAAAGGAATTTGTCCTTGCTGAACATTTCTGAAACATGAGTGAATACAGGTAGATAGGTAAATAGGCGTTTTTAATAATCAAAAATATAAATGAAAAAGTTTGCAGCAGCACATCGTCTTATCTCTGTCGCTAGAGTACCTCTCCAACGTCAACAACTGGCCAACAGACACACTGTTAGCATATCAGGGCCCGGCCATTTGAACACCAACCGACATTCTGCCCAAACTTGTCCCTCGCAGTTTACAAAACCGAAACACAAAACCAGTCAACAAGTCACAAAAAAGCGCACATCACTGGATGACAAAAATAGACTTGATGAGAAAAATATTCTCTAAATAATCTAATGTCCAGAACCAGGGCCGATTTTTGATTGCAATCTTTATAATGCTCAAACATAAATGCCTAAATGTGTTTCAAATGCTGTGGGAACCTCAGGACGAGGGCGCTGTGGGAACTTCAGGACGAGGGCGCTGTGGGAACCTCAGGACGAGGGCGCTGTGGGAACCTCAGGACGAGGGCGCTGTGGGAACCTGGGAACCCAGGACGAGGGGCGCCCAGGACGAGGGTGGGAACCTCAGGACGAGGGCGCGCTGTGGGAACCTCAGGACGAGCCGTGGGGGCGCTGTGGGAACCTCAGGACGAGGGCGCTGTGGGAACCTCAGGACGTGGGAACCTCAGGACGAGGGCGCTGTGGGAACCTCAGGACGAGGGCGCCGTGGGAACCTCAGGACGAGGGCGCTGTGGGAACCTCAGGACGAGGGCGCCGTGGGAACCTCAGGACGAGGGCGCTGTGGGAACCTCAGGACGAGGGCGCTGTGGGAACCTCAGGACGAGGGCGCTGTGGGAACCTCAGGACGAGGGCGCTGTGGGAACCTCAGGACGACGGCGCTGTGGGATCCCCAGGACGCTGTGGGAACCTCAGGACGCTGTGACTCCCTCCCACTCCACCAAATACTGGACCTTGCCGTCCAGGGTGACCCGGCGGGCCAGGACCCGGTATTTCTCCCCACACTCCAACCGGCCCGCAGCCCCAAAGTAGCTGCTGATCGTGCTCTTCAGGTGGGACAGCTGGCCACCACCTTGGACTAGGCCGTGCACAATGTCTGCGGAGTGGAGTCCTGGCGTGGGACTGGGGGGCTCTGAGTGACAGGGGAGAGGGATCTCAGGGTTCGGGGGCTGCAGGGGGACGCGTGGCAGTCGTCCCCGTCTACGCTTAAAAGAGGACTTGGCGCTGGGCCAGGGACGACCCGGGCGTGTCCTGTTGGAGCTGCACAGGCTGGGGGGTGGGGCGTTAGGGACCAGGTACAGGTGGGAGGAAAAAAAACACATTTATGATGCACCTCCAATTACCAACGATACAAATAGCTTTCATGAGTATCTTGAAGGTTGATATAATCCTAACATAAGACACTAGGGGCTGTGGTATATCACCAATATATACCAACTATGAACTGATATATTGATAATATACCTGAAACGCCTAAGATCAATCATTGCTAAATCGCTTATCAATGCAATAAGAGCAGTAAAAAGTGAAATATGCGTAAACTAATGTGCAAATATCTACAGTAAATATTTCCTATATATATGCAACAGTACCTGGACTGTTTGGAGATGGCAGTTGAGGTAGTTTCAGCCACACTGGCAGCATCAATGGACTCCAGATCGGAGGTACTGGAGGATGGCAGAAATCGGTCACTTTTGCTGCTGGGAGGAAAGGGCATGCTGGTCACAGCACAATTCAGCCATTTTACAAGACAAACTAAACTCTCTTTTTGACAACTCACCTCCTGGAGGCTAGGAAATCCAATGAGTGGGAATCTGATGGCTGGAGAGGCGATAGAAAAACATGACACATCTCAATGGGTAAATCACCTGCTTATAAAAACTTCACATTTGGGCAAAGAGTGTTTAAACTCTGTGTTTAAACTTTGTGTTAGGTTTTGCTTTGCTTACACAAACAACACACACACACCTCAGTTGAGAGTTCACTGGAGCGCCTTAGCTTGGCCAGAGTCTCCGGTGAGTGACCTCTGTGCTGCCTCCCGGCCTTGGCCGTCGTCGTCACGCTGACATTGGTTACTTCACTGTCCAACCACAAGTCACATTTAAAGATTCTCAGCGTACTGACAAATAAACGTGTAGGTAACTCTGCTGTCACTTGGAACAGCACAACTTCTGTCCAAAGCAAACCAGTCCAGATTACATCGAAAACATAATAAAACAAGGATATCGACAATGCAGGATTTCCCCTAAGCACCCACCTGCTGTTGGTCAGAGGTTTCCCTGTCTTCCTGCCCTTGATCTTGACCTCTTTAGAGACCCTCTCTGGCTCCTCCCACTCAGCCAACAGGTCAGAGCTCTGGGGACCAGGCGGAAAACGGATCCTTAGCCCAAATAGGTGCTTCTTCTTCTTTATCTCCTTCCCTGACATGAACCTGGGAAAAGGAACAAACAGGGGGGGCAAAAGGATAGAGAAATAAGGGAGACACACACACATGAGAATAGTAGAAAGAAAACAGAGGACTGTGAATACGATTGGGCCGACATGACAGGAGAAATAAACTGTAAAATGATGGTAGAGAGCATAACTCACATGCTGTGGTTACTATTCAGTGCTTCCAGAATACTTTTATATCGGTCTGACTGACAGGTGGCTGAAAGCTGGAACCAGGAACAAGTAAGTAATCAAATGCACCACAAACTTAATCAAACAGTAGATTTCTAACAAACTTAAAAGACAAAAAGGGCTGTATGTGGCCGTGTCCATTCAACGGTCAAAGGGTTGTCCCACCTCCCCAAGCTGGAGTTGCTCCCAGTTGTCGTTGATGTAAGACATCAGTTCCACTTCAGAATCAAAGTATTTCTTCTTGTGAATAACACTCATGTTATAAAGGCTAAGGTGTGCCACGTCCACCCTGTCAGAGAAACACAGGAAGTGAAAAGTGCCTCAGAAACAGGACAATGTGAGTCACTGTTAGAATCATGCTGGGTAATTCAAATAGGACACTTATTTTTCAGAGATTGGAGGTTTTCTAGATTCCTCTATTAAATATGTATTAAGAATTAAATTTGACCATTTATTGTTTGTTTCTTGCTTTTAAAGTGCTTTAAAGTTCTATGAAACACACTGTAAAAGTTGTATGGTTAATATTATTAATATTGATAAATCTGTGCCAATTATGCCAGATTAAACTAGTTCCAAATTGACGCAATGAAAATATAGTTATAGTTACCTCCGGTCAAAAGATACCATTTCATATTTACTGGATACTTTTATTTATTTAACCTTTAACCCGGTAGGCCGATGGAGAACAAATTCTCATTTGCAACGGCGACCTCGGGAAAAGCTGGGAATTGAACCCAGCAGATCCTACATACAAAGCATGCACTCTACCACTGAGCTACACAAACTGCTCCAGGAACCAATACAATATAGCAACCAATGAATCAATCTCAAACCAAAATCTCTTCCAAAAAGTTTTTGCTCACCATCTAAGAGGCAGTCGTTTGAGGTACTCTGGTCCACTATTGCAAACTGAACAAATAAATAGATAGAACCTGGTGAGAAATAAGCACAATAGCACATTTATTTTCTTGCATGGGATGCAGAGATTCAGCCCAGTCACAGCTAGTCGACAAGATAGCCAATCGCAGATATGGTAGCCGGCCCGACTACAGGTAAGGTAGCCAACCGCGGCTATGGTAGCCGACCGCGGCTATGGTAGCCGACCGCGGCTATGGTCTCAGGGGGAGTTGGTCACTTACCTGTCACCATACAGCATGGGTGTCTTAAAACACTGAATACACGCCTCATGGAACCACTGCTTACACCGGTTGCACTGCAGCATCTTCAGGTACCAGCTAAGGGAGTGAAGAGCAGGGTTTGGATAGAGAACATACATGTGTGTGCATGCGCGCGCACACACACACACACACACACACACACACACACACACACACACACACACACACACACACACACACACACACACACACACACACACACACACACACACACACACACACACACACACACACACACACACACACACACACACACACACACACACACACACACACACACACACACACACACACACACACATATATAGTGTGCATGTTGCTTACTCTCCAGGCCCACCACAGTAGCAATAACATTGCTGGATGTTGGTCCTGTGTCCCTGGTCCCACACCAGGTCCTCCAGTGCATAAGGCAGAGACAGCTTTATGTCCTGTATGATATAAGGCAGAGACTGCTTTATGTCCTGTACGATTTAAAGCAGAGACAGCTTCATGTCCTGTATGATATAAAGCAGAGACAGCTTCATGTCCTGTACGATATAAAGCAGAGACAGCTTCATGTCCTGTATGATATAAAGCAGAGACAGCTTCATGTCCTGTAGGATTCAAGGCAGAGACAGCTTCATGTCCTGTACGATACAAGGCAGAGACAGCTTCATGTCCTGTACGATACAAGGCAGAGACAGCTTCATGTCCTGTACGATACAAGGCAGAGACAGCTTCATGTCCTGTACGATACAAGGCAGAGACAGCTTCATGTCCTGTACGATACAAGGCAGAGACAGCTTCATGTCCTGTACGATACAAGGCAGAGACAGCTTCATGTCCTACAAGGCAGAGACAGCTTCATGTCCTGTACGATACAAGGCAGAGACAGCTTCATGTCCTGTACGATACAAGGCAGAGACAGCTTCATGTCCTGTACGATACAAGGCAGAGACAGCTTCATGTCCTGTACGATACAAGGCAGAGACAGCTTCATGTCCTGTACGATACAAGGCAGAGACAGCTTCATGTCCTGTACGATACAAGGCAGAGACAGCTTCATGTCCTGTACGATACAAGGCAGAGACAGCTTCATGTCCTGTACGATACAAGGCAGAGACAGCTTCATGTCCTGTACGATACAAGGCAGAGACAGCTTCATGTCCTGTACGATACAAGGCAGAGACAGCTTCATGTCCTGTACGATACAAGGCAGAGACAGCTTCATGTCCTGTACGATACAAGGCAGAGACAGCTTCATGTCCTGTACGATACAAGGCAGAGACAGCTTCATGTCCTGTACGATTTAAGGCAGAGTACCCTTTTGCCACAGAACAACCACACAAAACACACTTATAAGCTTAATTGTCGAAATACCATTAATTGTGTGAGTGTGTGAGTAGTAACCAAAACGTAGTATCTTCAGTTTTCACATTGTATTATTCCGTATGGCATTACAGAGTACTGAAGTTGCCTTGCATACTAAGTTACTAGATAAAAAGTAAAATATTATATAGTAAGTAATCATGTATAACTGTGAGTACCTTTGTTTTGGTGGCAAATACACAGTCACTACAGAGCCACTTCTCATCTGTTTCAATCAGACTGGAGTCGATGATTGGGGAGTGACAGAGCTGGTGGTAACCTGAAAAAAGAAGGCCGTTGAAGACTGAATATGGAACAGCAGGTAGCACAGGCTGTTTGGCATTAGCGCCCAGGCTGTTTGGCATTAGCGCCCAGGCTGTTTGGCATTAGCGCCCAGGCTGTTTGGCATAAGTGCCCTGGCTGTTTGGCATAAGTGCCCTGTCTGTTTGGCATTAGCGCCCAGGCTGTTTGGCATTAGCGCCCATAAAATAGTTTTGTAAACCATTCAACTCCTAGGTTTAATCTGCTTACATTACAAATAACAAAGCATGTAAAACCAAAAGCTTCAGGTAGGCAACAAGCACAAGCATTCCCATAGACTTCCATTCCATCCGCCAAAGCTAGTCAAACAAATACTCTAAAACTAACTTCAAACTGAATGCAGACCCCTTAAACAGTGTCATGTTCACCTAGTTGGGAAAACAATGCACAAATCCTGACCTGATCTTCGATATGACCAACAGACATGTAGCATGGGTTGACATTCCAAACATTGTTGTTGTGGTACAGAAGGAACATCCGATTTTTACTAGCACCTACCTTGTCCACACTTATCGCAGATGACAATCTCGTTGGGCTCCTCGGAGCACTCATCCTGGCATATCGTACACACCATATCCTCCCCTCCCTCGTCGCCTAGGAAACAGACAGAGAAGACGGGTCACTGCTGCAGACAACCCCAGGCTGCTTTTTAACTAATACTGGGAACAGCAAACATGGCCAGCATCACACAAAGGACAGGGGGAATTCAGGTCACACAGAGAGCAGTAGACACTTCCCAGGACAGTAGAAGAATAGAGACACCGATCAAGTGGCTTTTAATGAAGAACTGACCAACCAGGTGTGAAATCCCCATTTGACTAATGTGATGTGTGTACAATGTTGTTCACAGTCACGTCTCAACAAACCAACCCGAAATGTGCATCCATTTATTATGGTATGTTTTTATAATTACCTCTCTATAATTCTTTTACGTTTTAACACCTGCAACCACACAAAGTGACATGAATTGCCCGACACCAGTGCAAAGGTCATAGCGGCCATCTAATGTTAAGGCCCCTCAATGAAAAGTGATCAGTTTACATGCATAAGATTAATAAACATGTATGAACACAGTGGTAACCCAGGATGAGGAATACCTTCCCTATTCTTGTCTCTGGGCGACGCGGGGAACTTACGGTTGGTGTCACCCCAGAAACTCTGTGGTCTGCTAACTGTCAGGAACAAATTACAAACGATAAACGCGGGCTGAACACAGGAGGAAGAACACTAAACCAAGGGTACAAAGTCCACTGGAGAGGGAAGGAATGAAGGCCAAACTAAATTAATAAACTAATTAAAACTGTACAGCCTGGAGAGGAAATTATGAAAGGAAAATGTAAAGGATTCTGCCAATCATCTATAGTTGGTATTATCTGTGGAGAAATTCAAAAGGCATTTTTTACAAGCAGATAGCAATAATTATTTGTTGAAATGCAGGCATACATACAAAGACATAAAACATCTAACGAGTATCACGTAGCATAACAACGGTTAACTGCACTAACTATCTACATTAGACCGTCCTTCCAGAAAAACGCAGAGTTTCTTGTGATTGTTGCCGGCAAAAATCCTTGATTATTCGGCACGTTTTCTTAAAAAACGCGATGGAATATGCGGGATATTTATGCAATGCGGGAACTTGCCAAAACTACGGACCTATGCAAAAACTGCAGTTTGATGACAGAGAAAAAAAGTAATTCCCCCAACACCCTGTTCTCACTAGGCTACTACCTTAATGTAAAGAGTCATTTCTTATTACTTCCTACAATAAGCAAGCATACTACATCACAGAAAGTGCTGGGAATATTTAAGTTCTCATCTTGTTTCATTTCAGACCTAAATAAACACATGGCAAAGTTACAAAACATTGATGAGTCAAACAAGTTCTGTAGCTTTACAAAAGGAATATGCTACAACTTCTGTAAAAATGAATAAATAAAATATAAAAAAATAAAATGTGTGCTTCCTGTTTTACAGAGGTAGCTATACAAAACAGACTTCATCTGTTAAAATAAATGCTACCAATGCACAAAGTGCAATCTCTTACTGTAACAAATTTACATAATAATATACTTACAACTGTAAGGTTTTTGAAACTAATATGATTTAACCCACTGGTAACAAAAAAGTGAAATGTTCTCCTGAATGAAACTACAACAGTCCACTGTGAAAATGAAAACTATAACTGCGTAGCCTCTAACACTGGCCAATCATTCCCAATCCTCATCCTCCATCCCCTCTCCCTCGTCCATCACAATCTCCTCCCTCTCAAATGCACCACTGCGGACCCGTTGGCTTCATCATGGCTTATTCGCAGGGTTTGCAGCTTTCCGATGGCGTTCAACGTCGCGTAATTACGTCACTTCATAACGTTCCCATGGCAACATGGGGGGGGGGGCGGCTGCTCTTGTGTGAAGTAAACGCAACATTTTCCAACTTTCTGCTAAGATATATGTGACTTTTTTGCGACGAAATGCAGGGATTATGAAATCATGCAAGCCCGCATATTTTGCGCGGAAATCAGCAATTTATGCGGCGTGATTGCGAGTATTTGAAAAAATGCGACCCCTGCATTAATATGCGGACTTTGGCTGATTATGCATTGAATTCAGCGATCGCATAATCGCGTTTTTCTGGAGGAACTGTTTAGGATTGGAAGTTTACATCTCCGGAGAGAGGGAACTACATGCCTGTCTGAATGTCCTTCCACAAAACCCAAGACTTGGACCGATCTTCAAAGACAACAAAGCAGCGATGCTTCTCGTTATTTATCTGAAAGGAACATTTGAAACACAGATGATCATTCAATGTGAAATGACGTGAGATATGGCCAAAATTGCCTTTGGATTGAACATATAAACAATAACAACTAGTAATAACAGCTGCTTACCTTAGTGATAGTGCCCAGATAAAAAAGGCCATCGGACCATCGGGCTAGG